CTGACAAGAAAAATCTTCTGGCACGATACGGTGACTCAACTGTCCTTGCAGTAGATTTAGCAATTGATTTGATATAGTTGCTCCAATTCATATCAGTTGAAAACTAAGGCCAAGAAGGTGTAGGGTGTTGATCTCATGGGGTTTAATACCAGCCATGATGATAGCAGACAGAAAAGAGATACCTCATCTCAGAGATATAGACAGATATCTTGTCTGCTATTCAACGTTCTATATAATATAATTTATGCATGACTAAAATTTATCATCTTTTTTAATCATTTCACAGTACGCAAGGCAATAAAGTCACTAAGCCAAAAGGGGTTACTGAGTGTGAAAGAATATGGGAAAAAACACTATTAAGCAGGGAGAACAGGAAAAGAACTGGAATTAAGACGACAGAAGATAACGATTGCCATTGTATTTAAATTTGTGACGATCAAACTTGGGGAGCAAGAAGCCACAAGAGCATTTCACAAGTGATAGAAGAAATTGTTAGCATAGAATTTACGGATGCATATGGACATCTCAACTTTAAAATGATGAGACCTTGCCTCCAAACAAGTACCGCGTTTAAATTCATAAAGTCTAGTTATAAGAGAGAACATTTTCTCAGAAGAGTTACCATAAAAGTATTTATAGAAAAGGTACGTGGAAGCTATGTTACGGCGGCGGGAAAGTGACTGAAGCCGAGTTGCGAGCTGTGGACCACTAACGTTGCAATTTCTTCTTTGCATTTTATCGTGAATCTCTAAATATATAGCAGAAGCACCGTACCACATTTAGCAACAATATTAAAAGCCAGTCAAATGGTAGACTTATAAATATGTAAGAGAGATTCTGGCATGAAGAATTGTCTAGCATGACACAGTGAACCAACTTTCCTAGCAGCAGGCCTAGCAATTGATTCAGTTTAATCTGTCTACTTCCTGGCAGCGTAAAATGTTAGCCAGTGAAGGCGCAACGAGACACTCTACAGGAGGTTAGCATCAGCCATGCTCATAGAACACAAAATGGGGGTCTCTCAGACCATTAGGTTGAAGAGTGAACATTTTTAGCACTTTTATAACGTCTATCATTTTCAATCACTTCCTTTTAAATCTGAATGTCTCTAGTCACTGTCAACTTTAAAGAAATTAAAAGCAGTAATTAATTTTCTAGATTCCCTTTGATGGAACAATTCTTTATGAATTGAATTTATTAGTTGTTGGTAAGGAACTAATATTATTAACACTGAGTAAGAACATTTTGTTTGAATTTTTTTGTGTCTGTCTCTGTGTGCAATTTTCTTTTTAATTCGTTTTTTTTTAATGACTCGGCGTTTTCTTGTTGACCATTTCCTTATATTATGTTTAAAGCGCTTTTTTGATAAAAAAAGAAGACATCTTTTTTTCATATACGGACAAGGGAAATATGATTTCACGTCATAATAACACTATCGCTCAAATCCAGCCTGTCAATATTCAGACATTCACCAAATATAAAGTTTTTTTTGTGTTTTTTTTTTTATCGATTTTCCAAATTCTCGTATCAGTCACGCCAGAAACGTGATAATCAAACGTCTGTTCCTGACCAAAATACAGTGTAGCTGAACGAGTCAATGCCTGTAAAAAGTAAAGGCGGGAAGACAGAATGTGTTGCTGTCAGCAAAAGAGAAAAATAAAAGTCCACGATACTAACTACAAATTAGAGCTGTCAAAATCAAACGAATAGAGAAGTTTAAATATTCGGGAATTGCTTTAACAGATCAAAGAAAATGTAACATCGAAATCCGGAAATTGCCTTCCAAAAACTAAACAAAGTATTAAGAAAAAAGAAACTTTCGTAAGATACAAAACGAAGTGTTCTGAACCATGCCATAGTAATTTACACTATTTATTTACACTATTTATATTCAGACGACTATCCTCGTCATTGTTGTTGTTATCACAACGTTTCGACCATTGTTCCTTTCGGCCTTCATCAGATGTATATCAATCATCGACAAGGAATTCAGAATTGACCCCTTTATTTAATCTACGGGGGTAGAATTTTCCCGTTCCATTGCCCATGTTTACCCCGACAGAATAGTGAAAGTTTTGACGGCGTAGAGAAAAATGTAGACAAAAAGGACGCTTATAATTAACATCAGAAAAAGAGAGTTGAAATTTCTAGAGTACATAATGAGGAAAGAGTGCTTGGAAAGTTTGATACTCACAGGGTAAATTGAAGGAAAGAGGGATAGATGAAAACAGCGCATAACCTACCTATCGAGCTTGTGTAAATGGATGGCCGGACAGGTCTTTGGAGAGATAGCAAAAGGATAACATTTTTAAGAGTTACAAACGAAGGGTAATTGTGGAGAGCAATGATCGCCAACGTCATGAAGATCGGGAACACCAGGAGGGGACAGTTAAAATGTCTCGTGCACATAATGAGGAAAGAAGGCTAAGAAAATTTGACAGGATATATTAAAGGCAACAGGGTAAGAGGAAAATAACACATAACATACTTAGAGATTGTCTATATTTCTGAAGTGAGGTATTATGTACACTATTTACATTATTTGGACTATTGTCCTCATCTTTGTTGCCATATTTATCACAACGTCTCTCCCGTTGTACGCCCTAACCTTCTTCAGGTAGTTGGAATGTCGAACTGATCCAAGATACCTGACATCTATTAGACATGGCACGTGGAACTAGAACAGTCTACCCCAGCGAGCGAAATAAAGGGTTCAGTTCGACATTCCAACCAACTGAATAAGACCGGAGCGTACAAGGACCGAAACGTTGTGATAAATATGGCAACAAAGATGAAGACTATAGTCTGAATAATGTAAATAGTATACTTAGCGATTGTTGGTTGGTTGATTTTTTTTTAGTGGTATATTAACACCTCTATGGGTTATTTAATGCCGAAATCTAAATTTTTTGGACGTTATTTTATACTTTCAGAGTAAAAGTATGTTTTTTAGAAATGTAGAATAGTTTGCAGATCATAAAATATATTGTTGGGAATTTTACTATAAAAATGTATTTTTTAGTGTTGCATTGGTCATTTTATTATAAAAACTTATAGTTGACTTTTATTTTCGTCTTCATTATTTGCCCATTTGCTGGGAATTGTGATGAAGTATATCATGTAAGTAATACTTCTCGTGTTAAATATCATGTAAGTAATACTTCTCGTGTTAAATATGTCTGTCACTACGCCGATGACGGGTGCGAGCAACAGTTTACTTTAAATAGGTATTGTTTGTAAATTTGCTTGAAATAGGAATTGTTTGTTGGTTGGTTGATTTTGTTTAGTGGCATATCAACACCTCTATGGGTTATTCAATGCCGAAATATAAATATTTTATACCTAATTTTAGGCTTTCAACTACAGATATTGTGTACATGATTTTATACCTTCAGGATAAAGGTATGTTTATATGGTTTTGTAAATTAGAAAGTGTTTTATCTGTCTATATCTCTGAGATGAGGTATTATGGTTGCTTACATTATTTGCATTATTCGAACTGTTATCCTCATCTACATTGCCATATTTACAACGTTTCGGCCGTTGTGCGCACCAGCCTTCTTCAGGTGACTGGAATTTCGAACCGAAAACTTTATTTCGTCCACCGGGGTAGATTGTTCTAGTTCCACGTGCCATGCCTCTTCCGGGAGTCGCAGTTATTTCCCTCTAACATAACTCTCCAAGTTTTGTTTCACCCCTCTTTGGGTCTAGTCAATGGACCTAACCAATGCCTTTATTCACTGGGCCATGTGTCCTAGATGACATCTGTGTATGAATTTCTGGGACTTATAAACCTAATGTATCAAGAAACATTTTTACCAGTGCATAGCACGTCGAACTAGAACAATCTACCCCCGTGGACGAAATAAGGGTTTCTGTTCGAAATCCCCGTCACTTGAAAATTGCCGGGGGAGGGGGGTACAACGGCCGAAACGTTGTGAATATGGCAATGATCAGAGGCTTTGCTGCCGGATGTAGTTTATCGTCATACCCAGGACAATAATCTTAGCAAGCTGGTGTAAATGGATGGCAGAACGTGGATTGGGATAGATAGAAAAAGGACAAAATTTACTAAGAGCTAGAAGGAACAGGAAATTGTGGAGAGCCCTAAACGCCAACTTCCTGAAGGGAAACGGCATATAGAAGAATAATCATTTTTTGTCATTCATTTTATCCAAAAATGTAAATTTCTGGAGTTTAGATGACATTTAAACAGAAAATTACAAATGATGATAAATTTTAGCTATGCATAAACGACAAAATAATGGACCGTTGAATGACAGACAAGATGTGTTAATAACATTTTTCTTTAATTGCTGTCAATGTAATATGTTTCAAATCGGAGTGATGGGGATAGTATTTTTGTGGTATTTTCGTGGTTTTATCCAAAAGAAAATGAGCAAAAGAGAAAATGTCGACCTTGTAATGTGTGCGTAGATACATATGAAGATCTCTTTTTCACCCTTCCACACACGCGATATCTTTATTTGCATAACCTACTTCCGGGGGGTAATGACGTCACTACATCAGCGTCAATATTTCCAACTAAAAAGCTTTGATTTCGGTACAGTGGTTTTTCTGGAAGCGCTCCTAAGACAGCAACGAATATATATATATATATATATATATATATATATATATATATATATATATATATATATATATATATATATATTATGAAATGGACAAAGTCCGACAATTATTTTAAGACATTTTTATGTTTATGCATTCTTTTTATAGATACAAATATTTAAGTAAATGCTCTGTTTTATAATAAACAGTATTAATAACATTTACCGGCCTGAATGACCGAGAAATTTTCATAGAAAATATTCGTTCTCCGACAGGAATCGAACCTGTATCCTATACGGAACCATGATTTAGTTCGATCGGTTAAGGCTCGTCAAGCCAAATGACGGTTCCGTATAGGATACAGGTTCGATTCCTGTCGGAGAATGAATATTTTATATGAAAATTTCTCGGACATTCAAGGCTGGTAAATGTTATTACCAACGTATTATCGACGTATTATCTCTGCTGACACGGGCGTCAAAGTCACCGAGAATGATGAACTTGTCTGCGCTAGACACGGCCGATATGATGTCCTTCCGATCCTCGTAGAATCTGTCTTTCACCTAGTCAAGGTTAGTCATAGTGGGGACGTACGCGCTGATCATTGTGACGAAATTCTTCCTGGAGAGTGGGAGGCGGCTGGTTATCAGGCTACCATTGACCCCTTTGAACAAGCCGCCAACATATTGAGCAGGTTCGATTTGATGGCAAAGCCAACTCCTACCTGGCATCGCCCGTTGTGTCCACAAGAATGTGTAGACGGCAGACTGCTCTGTCAGGTGTCCTTCCTCTGATAGACGGGTCTCGCTGAGGGCGGCAATCTGCACTTTGTATCGAGCTAGTTCGCTAGCAATGAGTGCGGTCCGTCTCTCAGGCCGGCTAGTCCTGTCACGTTCGGAAAAGCGTTCTGAAAAGCGACTATATGACCTGGGTCTCCTACGTGTAGAGTTGTGACTACGACTGCCAGTACATTCACACCTGTTGCTTGGCCATGTGTCTACCGCCCATAGGCCTTGAGAAGGGAGATGAAATCACGTCTCTGTCCATCTGGGTCCGGTAGCACAACGAAGACAAAACGGGCGAAGATGGGTCATGGATGCAGTGGATGGCCACCAGTATATATATATATATATATATATATTTGGTTGGATAGATGTGAGTTTGTGACCCTGGGTTTCACGCTTTAGCGATCGTCAGACAAACCCTATATATATATATATATATATATATATATATATATATATATGTTTAGTGTCTGCGTGTGTGTGTGCAACATGTATTTATAAACAAATGTAAATGTGTTAGTTTCTGAAATTAGTTTCTCTTAAATTTAAAAAAATTGAGAAACTAACAACTTTATACTTTTGTTTATAAATACTTCTTGCAAAATAAATTATTACGTTTGACTCGATAAAGTCCATCAGAAGACGAAACGCGTCGGCTGAGAAAAGTTTCCCTTTCGTCTCTATTTACATTGTCCTTTTTCAGATATATTTTAGTTATATCTGAAATTTTAACACACATATGCTCACACATACAAACACACACACACCCACACATATATATGATAAAATATAGTTTAAATATGTGCTATATTTATAGGTTAAAGTGCTCAATATAAGGGATAGAGTATTTGGTAATATGAAAGAAAAAAATTAAAAACAAAGCAATAAATAGCCAAAAAACTGCATTCAGATCCACAATTATCGCCACTCAATTGCCTCTAGAATAACTCGCTACATACTCGTTGCCGCCCACCAAAATAACAGTTAAAAATACAATGGATTACCCACAATGCATCATTGACCTACATATATAAATAAAAAATGCAACGCATATGGCCTGACGATTGAGTATAAATATGAAACAGACTGTCGCTCGCCACTGAGCGTTGACTTCAATATCCTCGTTTTGTGATGCGTTTCATCCGAATAAAGGATGAAACCTTTCCAGTTTGCCATATTTTTCTAAATATATATATATATATATACACACACACACACACACACACACACACACACACACATATATATATATATATATATATATATATATATATATATATATATATATATATATAAATAAAATTTCAAGAGGATAGAATCCAGGTAGAACTCAATGTCCAGAACAGAGTAAGAATATAATATAAAAGGCTCAAACACTAATATTCCATGGTTATAATTTATTACATTAGAATCGTAATCACAAATTGAAAAAGAGAAGTTTTAAAAAGTGGTGTTAAATAACAGTTTAAATGAGTGAGATGCAGATAAATATCAATTAGTCATATTATCTGTATCTCACTCATTTAAACCATTATTTAACTCGTCTCTTTAAAACTCCTCTCTGTTAAATTTTAATCCTCACCTTCACCTTTAGACCATTCCTGTTCTTCTTTCTTCTGTTACACCCTCTTTCTAGAGCTTTCATACATTTCCCTCTCACACTTGTTTCCCACTCCCACACATACACTCTCACTAAAATTTTGTTTTTTATACCCGGAGTTGTAGATATATTTCCGATTTCTTTTTGAATTTGTTTTTGAAATTGATCGTGATTATGATTCCAATGTAATAAATTATAACCATGGAATATTAGTGTTTGAGCCTTTTATATTATATATATATATATATATATATATATATATATATATATATATATATATATATATATACTAGCAGCATGGGGCTTTGCGTTGCCTGTGCTTGATTCAAAAATCGTACTACTCATACAGCAATCGCTGTCACTTGACTTAAAATATTTTTGCCCTTCATTGCCTTTAAAGGAGTGCCCTTTGCCGTGCTGATGTTGCTACATGCCTTACTTCTTGCCTATTTCACACTGCGAATTATTTCTAAGCTCTATACTAAACATTAAATCTGTTATGAAAAAAGAACTAAACAAAATGAACACAAAATGATCAGCTTTAAAAAAGGACTCGTAACTGGAAAAACCGAATGAAAAAAGAATGTTAACAACAAATACTTTTTCACACCCAACACAGTTCTGCGGAATCAGAATCAATGTTGAGTTTAAGCAAGCGAATGAGCCAATTGGAGTAAAGTGCCATGCAGATTTAAATTTTTCCCACTTGTGACGAATGCAGCTATCGATTTTTTTTTGCATGCTAGCATGCTACTTATCATTCGTATCAGTCAGCTGTTGGCTCTCACGCTAGCCAATAGAATCTTCCTGCCTATTCGTGGCAGCCAGCTATAGGCTCTCACTCTGACCAGTAGAAAATGGACGCAAACTACATGAAAACTGCCGTAGAAGCATGAAAATATCGATTATTTCCACTATCGATGGGAGTTGGGAAATGCAAAGTCGGTCTTGGCCTTCCCGCTAACTTGGAGCATGTGCATGTAAATTTTGGTGCAAATCCGTCGAAAATTGGGCCGTGCATTCGTTACACACACACACACACATATCCTGCCTTATATATATATATATATATATATATATATATATATATATATAATATGACAAGCTGGAAAGATTTTTTGTGACGCGTTTCATCCAAATAAAGATGAAATGTGTCACAAAAACCTTTCCAGTTATATAAAACCTTTTCAATTATATATATATATATATATATATGTATATATATATATATATATATGTATGTGTGTGTGTGTGTATTTTTTCTAAATTTGTCATCTATACACGAATAATTGAAGAACAGTTCCCACATTAAAAATGCTGCTGAAAGACGATAGAAGAATGTATCAGACGAAATGTTGCACAAAAAATAAGAAAGAACAAATATATTATCAAACTTTACATTGAATTCGAGCAATAAAATCGGGCATTAAAGACCATTGTGTATTAGAGCAATAAAATCAAACATAAAAAAGACCCATTCATAACAAAATAGAATGAAAAACATGATTTATTACCGTTAAATGGTAATACTGAAATATAATAACAATTAAAAACAACTATAACCATTTATCCAAAACTAAATTGGCTAAATTAATTTTCCATTAAATGTTATTTGTTTTTATTTTCACTTGCTTTTTATCTTTTTTCCACAGGGTACCAACGGAAACAGAGGTTCACTCATTCACCCCCATACAGATTCTGAGAAAGAGGCAATTCTATATTCTCTGGTTTATTTGCGTACTCAATGGTCAAAGCATTCTCTTCATTGCCGGCCTTTACAAGGTAATAAGACAGAATTAGTGCATAACACGTTTCGACCACTACTTTTTTAGGTTTTCTTCAGGTCTCTGTTGCATCCAGTCTAAATCAACCAAGGCTCGCACATTAAGGTCCAAATGCACCAACTTCGATTTTTAGTTCGAGCATAAATCCTATGGAAAAGTAAGTTCACGGCTGACAAGTAATTACAATATTTCGGTCCTATTTTTTAACCAACTAGAAAAAGAATAGAACTTTTCTAACCAATCATAAAGTATTTGTTTTTCAGAATGTATTTTTATTTTTTTTTTTTTGGTTTTGGTTTTATTTTTTGCGGGTATGTAATTATAATTCAGACACCATCAGATATGAAACAGTTTGGTTTGGGTGTTTTGTTTAGCGGCATATCAACACCTCTAGGGGTTATATAATTGTTGTATCTTTAAAAAGGTTACAAACAAAGGTGGTACTCGAGTGAAAGGAACAGCAATACGGGCGTAGATGGAAGAAAGAGAGGTTTATTGTAAAAGAGAATACACTACTGAAAGACAGGGATTCAACTAGCACTTCCTGAATCCAGTCACCGATATGCCCTGTGCACACTACATATATTACTGATATAGTCAGTCCACAATATGTAATGGGGAGAGTGGAACATTCCATTATAACAATAATGATGAAATCTAAATATTTTTTGTAGACAATTTTATTTTATTTTTGAAGAAAATAATGGTTTAGTGATACAGGTCTTACTAATTAACCCACATCTTGGGGGAGAAGAAGTGGATTCATACCTTTCTCAATGGTATTTACTCATGTGAATATAACGAGGCCACGGGAATTGGAACTCGGCTCTCCGATAAGAATTCCGTTCCATTATTCATTACACCACCCGCACATCCAAGGTTACAACACTTGGTATTGAGGTACTAGCAAAAATCAACGTTGCTTAATCCTTTATCATACGAGAACCGGTGTCTCAAAGCGATGTGGCCCTAAGAAACAGGCAAACTGGAAGATTTCATATCTACCATCAAGAAGGTCTAGTTGAGTTAGTATGGCCGGGTCGTAAGAGCCAACGATCCTTCCATTGCCATCCTACGAGGGGTCAGTTCAGGCGAAAGGTCAAGAGACAGATATAGGAGAAAAAAAAATGCTGTCAACGTCATTAGGGGGACCGGATGATCATCCAGAGAGACTCAAATGTTGGCCAGCAACCCCGAGAAGGGAACTGCTCAGGTGCTCAGGAACGTAGCGGACCTACAATCATACCCAGTCAAAAATGATGACGACGATGAGGACAATGATGATGATGATAATTTAGGGTGGTGATGATAATGATTTAGGGTGGTGATTATGATGACGATAATGATGACGACGACGAAGACGACAATGATTATGATTTATGGTGGCGGTGATGATGACTTACGGTAGTGTTGTGAATGATGATTTATGGTAGTGTTGGTGGTGGTGGGGATGATAATGATGTTTTTTGATGATAATGATGATGATGGTGGTGGTGGTGGTGGTGGTTTTATTCCGAGTGGAAACTACAGTTATTTTATTTTCGTAATATTTCACTCTCAAGTTTTCTAAATGTTTAGCAAATTAAATATTTTATTCGATATTGTCCCTCTGCAAATTCGGGCTTAGTTTTTTGTTTGTTTTTTGTTTTTGTTTTGTTTGTTTTTTGTTTTTGTTTTTATTTCATTAGACAACAAAATAAGTCTCCAGCGACATAGCTTCTGATTTGATTAATTGATTTGTTTGTTCAATGGCATATCAACTCCTTATAGGTCAGTTAATGCCGAAATTTGATTTTCTTGGGAGCTTGGCAGAAATAGATATATATGTTAATCTGCTTTCACAAATGAATACATGGTAGATGATCTTTATGCATATACATCTTTGTGTGGACATAATTGCTAGAGGCAGTGATATGTGTTTTTTTTTTATGGTGGAGATTTTGTTGAAGTTATATTTTGGAATACAGTTTGATTTCTTTAAGAAATTGTAGATTATTATGTGGATGAATGCTATGAAACAGTTCTTTCATACTGTTTGTTTGGTTGATTTTGTTTGACGGCACATGAACACCTCTATGGGCTATTTAAAGTTGGAATATAAATATTTTGTATGCAATTTTATGCTTTCAACTAGAGATATTCTAGTACATAAGTTTATACTTTTAGAGTAAAGGTAAAATTTTTAAATATATATTTTGTAGATCATGAAATGTATTGTTGGTAATTTTACTATAAAAATTTACTGTTGATTTTTGTTTGGGAGTTCGCGATTTGCTCATAGCAGCGGTTAAATGGTGATTCCACACTCCTCAAAACTTCCAATCTTCCGATCAGAGGCCTTGGTGATGGGTGTAGGAAGACATACCTTCCGCTTCAATCAATACCACAGTCTTTTGACCTGCTGTCGCTTATGAGGGTAAATGTTTCGAAATGCATAAACAATCCTTTATTTTCCTATGTACATTTATTCTTGTGCCAAAGCTTAGTAAATAACAAGGAATCTTCCATTCATTTTAAATTCTTTTCGCACATATAATTTAGTGCTTTCACGATTACGCTCTCAGTACTTCTTACCTTTGAACTTCTATGTACTCCATTCCTTCAGAATATGGGTAGTCATGGCTCTCCAAAATTTATTATCCCTTGAGGCCCTTAGGAGTTTTCTTACTTTTGCTAAGGATCCTTTTTCCGCTATCTATTCATCACATATAGATGACTCGTTGCCTTTCCCTATCTCTCTTGCCCTCAATATGCCATGTGAGGGTTATATTTTCCAATCCTTCTTTCCTCATTATATGTCAAAAGTATTTCAGCATTCATTTCCTAATTCTGAGCATAATTTTTTTTTTTTGGTGCCATTTTTTGGGTACCACTTTCTTTAAAATTTCTTTGTTATTTACTCAATCCTTCCAATATCTTTCTGGAATTCTTAATACCTTTCTGTAGAATCACGTTTCTGCTGCTTCCACTTTTCTCCACATCTGTGGGGAGATTGTCCAGCATTTACTTCCATATAAGAAGATGGATATTACATAGCAATCCAACATTTTCAATTTGTTTCTAACGATGTTTTTCAGTTTTACAGCACTTTCCTCGGATATAAAATTAATTAATGGTGCTTCAAATCGAATTCCTCTTGTGCAAACCGTTTGTCTTTATATTTCTTATCTGAAGTGAGAGTCATATAATTTCTAATCCCTTTAGTGAACTTGCCCTGTTAGCAGAGGATAAATACACAGTCTGGCTCCCCTGCAGAGGAGCAAGAGACCCCGACCAACATAAAAAGACAAGCTTCCAAGAGGATACTTGCAGAATCATTCCTAAACCCGACTAATGTTCACCTATAGACTCAAGTATAAACCCGATTAATATTTGTCTAGAGACTCAAGTATAACCCCTACCAATATCCACCTATAGACTCATGAATAAACCCGACTAATGTCACCTATAGACTCAAGTATAAACCCGATTAATATTTGTGTAGAGACTCAAGTATAACTCCGATCAATATCCACCTATAGACTCATGAATAAACCCGACTAATGCTCACCTATAGACTCAAGTATAATCCCGATTAATATTTGTGTAGAGACTCAAGTATAACTCCGATCAATATCCACCTATAGACTCATGAATATACCCGACTAATGTTCACCTATAGACTCAAGTATAAACTCGATTAATATTTGTCTAGAGATTCAAGTATAACCCCGATCAATATCCACCTATAGACTCATGAATATACCCGACTAATGTTCACCTATAGACTCAAGTATAAACCTAACCAATGTACACTTATAAATTCAAGTATCAGGACAACTATTATTTATCGACATACCTTCATATAAAATGTACCAATATTTACATAGAGACTCAGATATAAAGCCGACCGTTGTTTACCGATATACTCCCATATAAATACGACCAATGAGTGTGTAGAGACTCATTTTTAAACGACTACGGATTCCCTATAGACTCAGGTATAACACCGACCACTGACTTTTCTATAGATGCATTTATAGGCATGACCAATGATTATCTATAGGCTCGGGTATAAAACCGACGAATGATAATCTATAGTCTCTTGTATAAACACGACTAATGATTGCTTATAAACCAAAAAAACCACGACAAATAAAGATCTATAGACTCATATTTAAACTCTACCAATGATTTTCTATAGACTCATGTATGAACACGACTAATAATTGACTATAGACACGCCTAATGATTATCTGAGACTCGGGTATAAACCAAACGCGTGATTGTCTATTGATCCATGTATAAGCCTGACCAATGATTTTCTACAGGCTCATGTATAAATGCTACTAATGATTTTCTATAGGCTCATGTATAAATGCTACTAATGATTTTCTATAGGCTCATGTAGAAACACGTCTAATGATTGCCTATTGATGCATGTATAAACCAGACCAATTATTTTCTATAGACAGGTCTATAAACACGCCCATGTTTGCCTATAGAGACAATTATAATTTTTTTTAAAAAGCAAATTTTGATATTACATAAACTAACAAGGATTGATTTGACTTGAAAACCATCAACACAGCCCAATCCTCCAATAAACCTCCCATAATTGCTACCTTGAAAAGTCAGTATTTGAAATCATGTTTCCTTTAGTGTTCGAACACTGATCACTGGAGTTGATGGCAAAAAACACAGCTGTTTTTACTACATAATAAGTTCCTCTTGCTAATATTAGAAACGCTTTTCTAAGCTATAAAAAGAACGCCCATTAGTTTACGTTGTGTACTTGACAACACTGTTATAGATAATTCTCGAATAAACAAAGATTTGCAAAGATATTCTTGCTTCTTTGTACGCATAACATTTGATATTTCAATGCTTGCGTCTACAATAGATAAAGCAGGAGTTTGAGACTTTTGAACATGATAAAAAATAAGTTGTTTTTTTTTGTTTTTGTTTTTTTTCCCCCGTTTTTAACTCTTTTCCCGTCTTTTATTCACACATTATTTG